AATTTTCCTCCATGCTTGTTCTTGTTTCTGACTCCAAATCCCGGGCACATTTGAATAGAGTCCAGCTTCTTCCGACACGAATGTGCCCTCAGTTATCAAAAGAGAACCTGCATATTCAGATCTGTCACTATAGTACTTGAGTTGCAAATCAGATGGTGTATGGTCATCTAATGCTCTCCTTCTCGTGGTTGGTGCAAACACAACTCTGTTGGATAAAGTATGATCACCAATTCGTATCGGTTCAAAGATCTTAGTATCTTTCAACGGTCTAATCTTGACAGCATGTACCATTTTAACACCTTGGATGGATTGTGAAAAAACTAAAAATGTTCTATTTGAACCAATTTTATAGCTTTCGAGAGAGCTTAGATTACTAATTGAATATTTAGGACTATCGAAGTAGTGTCCAAAAGTTTATATTGCGGGAGTGTATGAAGTAGATAGTGAATGATTAGTAACCCATTTATTTCCTTTCATGTTTCTTGGAAATAATCACTGACGAACCCCTGTATTCACAGTTGCTGATAACACATACTAGTCTTAAAGAGAGTTTCATTGATAGTATGATGAGATCATTTTAGAGAATTATGTGTGAAAGTACAATCCTTCAGAATTCGGCGGATTTTGAACGTTGACACATGCATATGACATTTGAATCTAGCAATAACGGTCAAGTGGGGCAGTCGAGGAAATCTCTTTGCTCGCATCTGCTGAATAACAAATGCAGAAGTCAAAGTAACATCAATTAATCAATGGCGCAAATCAAAGAGATAGTGAATCGAGCGGCGCTTAGTGCTGTTTAATTCTTCGATGAGTAGCTGAAAGGGCAAGCGAATCAAAATATTGATTTCAGCGAAGAAAAAATTATATACACTTAGATGAACCAAAAGGCTGGATTTTTTTCATAACGAGAAGATATGAGCTATTATACTTAGAAATCCATACTGAGGGTTGCACACTCAAGTTTAATTCGTAGAATTTTTTCTTTTTTTTTTTTTTTTCTTTAATCAACCGTTTGTGACATTGCAATCTAAACGCATATTTTGTAAAGATGCACTCTTCGATTCTCTTTCTTTTTATCTGGAACACCAAATATTCGACTTAAAACTTTATGTTTCAAAATAGTGAGATATTATCTTGTACAGGAAGAATACATACAATTTTTCTAGATATATTTGAGGGTTACAATAAGTCGTTTATGGTTAATCGTTGTCCCAAGAACTTTACTCAATCACTTATCCACTATGGCTGCAATTAATTCCACTGATAAAATTGCGAGCTTCGAACTCAGGTTCTAAATGCAGAAGAAAAATTTCATCAAATTAGAAGTTTAGTGCAAAAAAACTTTTACTATCTTCAGGGACACTCTGATCAAGTTCAATTTCTTAGTAAAAATTAGCATCTCGAAATTATAAAAGTCTAGCAGTGTTGTCTTGAAAATTAACGTCTAAAGTACTTAAAAATCTCAGCTAAAAAGTATCTGACCACTCTGAAATGAAAAGTCGTTATTCAAGAAAGGCAAAAGAGATAATGCTGGCAGATTCGTTTGCATATACAGCAGTTAAGAGAATCAAGAAATTAGCAAAAAAAAAAAGCTTTTTTCAAAGGTTGAATTGTTCATGGATTATTTTCCTGTATGTTAGTAAAGGCAAACATCTCTGCGGCAATACATTCAGCAGATAGGAATACAAATTTGGATGAAAGTACCAGCGAATCGTAGCTATCTAGAGATAAAGATGAAATTGAAGCTGCATTGAGTAACAATTGTGGGTCACTTTAAGAAACTATCGCTGCCCTTACAAAAGCCTTACTTTAGATTATAGATTTGTTGTTCCAGATTGATGGTTTTAATAAATTCTTAGATATCCACGCCCTCAGTAAAGCTAAGTAAAGCTAAGTAAATATCAATTTGTGACTTCAAGAGCTTTCAGCTGATATAGTAGGAAACTTGGCCTCTTGTATCTCTCTTTGGATTTGGGCCCTTTCTCCATATCTAAGGAAGGTATTATATCCCCAATTAGATTTGGCATAAAATGTACTCCTGTCATAATGATTGAGAGGTAAGCCTTCCTTTAATCTGTGAACAAAGTCCGGGTTCGAAGTGTAAAACTTTGAAAATCCAATCAAGGTACGATCATCTTCAATGTCAGCCAACGCACAAAAGAAGTTGGGAACATCGTATGTATAATTTCCCGTTCTCAATACCGCCCCTTTCCAAACGTTGTATACAAAAGAATTGTCGCCTCCAATCTTCGAAGGTTCTACGGCTTCGTCTACTTGCACACGATTTTCCGCAAGTGATCCTTGAGCACGAGGTTCGACAATAGATATATAAGCCAACTCATTCCCTTTGTCAGCTCTTCTCTGTAGCTCATGTAATAGATAGCTGAACGTCGTTATTGGATGCACCTCATCTTTTTCAGCAAGCATATTTTGGAATTTAGCCCACGGCGAGATCCTAAGACCGATTCTATGAGATCCTACTGTTTCTATAAGTTTATCGACAATCTCTAAGACTACTCTAGCACGATTTTCGATACTACCACCATATTTATCAGTTCTCTTATTTGAGCACGGTTGGAGAAATTGATCTAAGAGATAGCCATGCGCACAATGCAATTCAATATAATCGAATCCCGCCTTTATAGCCCTTTCTGCAGCATTAACGTAAGTTTCGTTTACCATTTTTTCAATTTCCTCAGTCTTAAGAGCTCTAAGAGGATTCCAGGACTCCTCGGCCACCCTTTTGGAATCCTCACTAGTGTATACTACTGAACTCGAAACGAAGTCATAACCACGTTCTTTTAACAAGACAGGATCAGCAGTCCTTCCCAAGTTCCAAAGCTGACAGCTTATGTAAGAACCGTTTTCATGAACCTTATCGGTGATTTTCCTCCATGCTTGTTCTTGCTTCTGATTCCAAATTCCGGGCACATTTGTATAAAGTCCAGCTTCTTCCGACACGAATGTGCCCTCAGTTATCAAAAGAGAACCTGCATATTCAGATCTGTCACTATAGTACTTGAGTTGCAAATCAGATGGTGTATGGTCATCTAATGCTCTCCTTCTCGTGGTTGGTGCAAACACAACTCTGTTGGATAAAGTATGATCACCAATTCGTATCGGTTCGAAGATCTTAGTATCTTTCAATGCTTTAATGTCAACAGTTTGCGCCATCTCACCACCTAACTGATAATGCCGGTGGAAAGAAACAATCTTGTCTTGATTATTATAGAATTATTAGTCTCGAAAGACCGTAAATAAATACTTGTAGTTTTAAGTTTCGAGGTATTTTAGATTAGTAATTGACGTATTTTTGTTCTCATAGCATCGAGAGATGTTTGATTAGTAATTGTTTTTTATTTATTTTTAGTTTTGGGAGATGTTCGCTTGGTGATTAGCTTTTTTCAGTAGTGCGAATAAAATTCATGTTATATGATGGGGAATGCACAAAGTGATTGCTGAATAATTCGCAATTTCTTTCTTCAAAGTTATTTGACCTCATCTGACTCATCCTCTCCAACTTTTGTGTTAAAGATAGGCTCTCTCATTCTTCAGTTCCTTGTCAGGAACTGCAAGTATGGGATTTAAAACTCAATGTCTTAAATTAATTGAATGTATCTTCTAAAAGATAATACTTGGTTTTATTTGACCACACCATGTTAGCTCTCTGAATCATAAAATTAAATAACAAGTTTTCAGATTTTTGATGTGATATAGATGTCTCCTTTGGAAAAAATTTGTTTTTTTAGGTCATGAAAAGTTCCTGTAAGAGAAAGAACTTCAACCTTGTCTAATAAGAAAAAAGGGCACTGCAAAATATTTCAATGCGCACTTTTTGTTGCAAATACGTACTGATGGTATATCATGAGAATTGTCATTGAGAAGAATACACATTCTTTTTGGTTATATGTTCGCTGGGTAAATGCCATTTATGACACGATTACGAAACATAGGTTAATGTTGATAAAGTTAATTATTGACAAATCTCCATTATTAGAAAAAGAAACTTAATAACATATAAAGGAAAACCAAAACAATCGTTCTAAGTGTGTCATAAATTGTGTGAATATTCTCCTTAAGGTAGGTTTTTTCTATCACTTAATGTTTGAATGTAGATGAATATTATCAGAGCTGAAAAGGCACTTATCTGTAAAATGAGCAAGCAATGCTTATGGATTCAAATACTCAACAAGGAAAAAAACAGATCACTAATTTTTCAGAAAAAGAAAATTTATACAATTGACCTGTTTAGCTCTTTTTTTGAGAGCGAGTTCTTTGAAATTAGCTTAGGGTAATAGCTTAAAGAACTCGTTGATCCTTTTTCTAATATTGCTTAAATAATATTTTTTAAATTCGAACTTTTTAGAAACTATTTAGCTAAGCTCTACATCAAGAGAATAAATTTATCTAATTTCAGGTACAAATAAATTTTTATATGGGTTTATAAAAAGTGATATTTTCGCTACGAACTTAGAATACATGATATTTGCTTTCCCTACCTCGTAGAGTTCAACCGGAAACTGATGTTTTTTTAAAAGCCTTTCTGACTTGTATATAGTTCAGCATGAAATGGCATTTTGTATTCAATACGCGCCACAGTAGTAAAAAAGGCACAAAATTTGAAATGAAATTAATAAAGAGTGATGATATCATGAAAAAATGAACATTTGCAAAGGCACCTAGTGAAATCGGTGCGCTAGCAATGATTGAGAAGAAATCATCAGAGGTATTTGAGGATATTAGCAATTTGGAGAGATGTGAAGTCAGCAGCACGAAGACTAAAGGTTCCTCTAATAAGGTACAGTCCGAGGATCTAAATAGAGCATTGACCAGTCGACAGATTCGAATGATAACCCTAGCAGGTATCATTGGAACAGGGTTATTTTTGGGAGGGAGTGCTTTAGCTGATGCGGGCCCTTTATCTATGCTTCTAGTTTATTTGATTATTGGTTTAGTTGTCTTTTTGACCATGCTATCTTTAGGAGAAATGGCAACTCAGTTTCCTGTATCTGGCTCATTTACAACTTATGCAAAAAGATTTGGTAGTGAGAGTTTCGGATTTGCAATGTTGACGAACTACTGGCTAAATGATGCAATATCTGTTGCTAGCGATTTAACTGCATTGCAATTAGTCTTAGCATACTGGACTAATTTCCCATTTTACGTCGTATCATTAATTTTTTGGGTGTTTCTATTATTCTTGAATGTTATTCATGTCAAGTTGTATGGGGAGACAGAGTATTGGCTCTCTCTCTTGAAAATTGTGACAATTGTTATATTTTTCATCGTTGCAATTGTCGTTAATGCAGGTGGTAATACACTGCATGAATATATCGGCTTCAAATATTGGTCTATGGGAGATGCTCCATTTGTTAATGGATTCAAAGGCTTCGCCGGGGTTTTTGTTACCGCCGCATTTGCATATGGTGGTGTTGAGTCTGTCACTCTCACTGCGGCTGAACAAAAAAATCCAACTAGAACAATGCCCACGGTCATAAGGACAGTGTTTTGGCGTATTTTGATATTTTACGTTTTTACGATGTTCTTTATCGGAATGAATGTTCCATATAACTACCCTAATTTATCTACAAAGGAGGCCGCCACATCACCTTTCACTATAGTCTTTCAAATGGTCGGTGCAAAGGGCGCTGCGTCATTTATGAATGCTGTAATAATGACTTCCGTTATATCGGCGGGAAATCATGCGCTTTTTGCAGGTTCAAGGCTCGCATATAACTTAAGCATTCAAGGATATATTCCAAAAGTTTTCACTCGAGTTAACAGATTCAAGATTCCTTATGTCGCTGTCATATTTACGTGGTTATGTGGTGGATTGAGTTTTGGTTCCTCATTTATTGGAGCTGGAGAGTTATGGTCGTGGTTACAGTCTATTGTTGGTCTCTCTAATCTCATATCATGGTGGGTTATAAGCGTTATAAGCATAAGATTTAGACGAGGTTTAGCTCGCCAAGGAAGAACAGATGAACTTTTATTCAAAAATTGGACTTATCCTTATGGTCCCTGGTTCGTGTCTATTTTCGTCGCCTTTGTGATCCTTGTCCAGGGTTGGTCAAGCTTTTCACCTTTCAGTGCTAACGACTTCTTCAAATCTTATGTGGAGCTAGCAGTATTTCCATTAACATTTGCAATATGGTGGGTCATAAAAAAGGGAAAAGATAAATTTGTCAAGTTTGAAGATATGGACTTTGATAGCGACAGATACTTTGAAACTGAGGAAGATAAGGAAGAGAATGCACATTTAGATAGCTTGCGAGGCTTGCAGAAATTAAAACATAATCTTCTTAGCTCCTTCTTATAACATCTATTGATGTCATGCATTGTGATACTTAATCTTTACTCCAAATATAACACCGTGTCCGTTTTATTGAAGCTCTTGTCTCATTTTATAACGTCTGGGACACCCTTGCAACCATATATGTAGCGAAATCTAAATATAATATGTGTGAGTGGTTTAGCCATCTATGTAACATAGTTGATTTCCTAAATAAGATCTAGTACAATTTATTCTTTACTTCAAAATTCAAGCCATTGGCATCACTCTTGTCATCAATTCTAACATTAAGATGTCGACTTATATTGTTTACTCGAAGAATCCATGTTGTATTAACTTTTCATTGTTCATTGAAGGTAATTAGGCATTATGGCATTGAATATGGAACCATACAGAATTAAATGAGTAAACTAGTAAGAATTACTTATTACTATTATGTCTAAAGATATTTAAAAGGCTTTTTGAAGTTCAAAGATTTGTAGACGCACCCTTCTCTCTCTCAGAAATTGCTCGATACATGACACGAGATTCAGTACTATATTTATGTCACATAAAAGCTGAAGGAGTTTTTTTCGAGATAGAATTCAATTAGCTTACCTTCTCAAATCTACCGTGTATGGGTTGACAAGCTTTGTTTTGAACCAAAGCTTGAAAAAAGCATATAATGCGATATTAACAAACACACCAATGTAACTAGTTATAAAAATCTTGTAATCAAATTTAGGTACAAATGCACCATATCCGAAGAAAAAAGTAATAACTAGCACGAAAAATAGTGTCACATATGCTGAATAAGGTTGGAACCACATCTTGAAAGGAATTTTTGCACTCGGTACATCTTGCGAAGTTACTGCTCGATGGAATCCGATATATGAAATCAAAATATAAGCCCAATTTAAGATTCCAAAGACAGACACAGTCGATGTGATATATCCAAATGATTCTGCGGAAGACTCTTTGACGTTCATATATGCAAGTACACCGAATATGGCAGCGAAAAGGCAACCTATGAAAGGAATGTTAAACTTGTTCATTTTCAAGAAAATCTTCGGGGCTGCACCATCTTTCGCTAGGCCATAGAGTTGACGTGAGCAAATATATAAGTCTGATATCCCTGTACTAAGAACAAACATCAACAAGCAAGCATTTATAAACGATGGAAGTACCTTTATTCCGGAAACTTTTATAGCAATCACAAAAGGAGACGCATCAGCGTTAGTTCCCAGAGCACTTACTAATTGCGGATTGTTTGGGGAAACAGATATACCCAATAAGAATACACCGAGAATATATACGAATCCAATTCTTATTAGTATCTGTTTTGAAGCTCGAGGAATTGTGTTTTTAGGATCTTTGGCTTCACCAAACACTATTCCAATCGTTTCGCTCCCAATGACCGCAAAGACCAGCTGACAAACGCAAGCAAAAAAACCTAAAAACCTCCCCTTACTGCCAGATACCAAATATTCTAAAAAAGGTGTTTCTCTCCAATATCGAAAACCAATGGTCTCATGAGTGGGACCACCTCCACTTGATATAACAATGCATATTATAAAAATCATGACAAGAATTAGTAATTTTGTTACGGCGAACCAAAACTCTAATTCACCATAATATTTTGATCCCAAGTAATTTATTGCAACAATAATCACGTAAAATACACTAACCCAGACCGCTACATTGAGATTAGGTAACCAATACTGGATTATAAGTCCGGCTGCTGTTAAATTGGAGGAGAAAACAATTGCATATTTAAGGAAGTAATTCCAGCCGGCAGCAAAGCCTAAAGCAGGATCCACATATTTCGTACAGTATCCACTGAATCCTTTGTCCATGGGACAGAAGCTAGCCATCTCACCAAGGCTAAATATTACGCCCACGAGCAAGCTGCCAGTAAACAGGTATCCTAGAAAGAGACTCGCTGGTCCTCCCCGTTTTAAACCTGTACCGCTTCCAATAATCAAACCTGTTCCTATGGCACTAGCTACCGAGAACATTGATACATGTCTACTTTTAAAGTCTCTGGACAAGAATATTTCACTACTATTGTCACCATCTTCGCTTATTCTGTCTTCACTTACTCCATCATGCAAGATGATTTGATCGTCTTCATCTCCAATTTGTTTCTCTTTATGATAATCCATTTACAATAAAAGAGAGTTCGATATAACGTATTCTCGTAATTGGAATGCCCTAAGTAATTGTGAGATATTTATTGAAAGCAGCAACAATGCAAGCTTTTAACTCTGCTCGAGAGATGACGCTATTTTCTCTAGCAAGGCTTCATTTAATCACGTTAAACAATAGAAACTGCAGTTCGAATTCTATTCAATCTCATCTCTTGTCTTCATGCACGGCGATATGCTTCTTAACGTCTTGAATCCTCAGAGCCACACTTCGAATAATTGGAGCGTTCTTCCTTTAACAAACTTCGCTTAGGAAACTGCACAGAAAAAGATCTTCCGTTCTTTTGCGTTTGTGATTGCAATTTTCGATTGATATGGAAAACCCATTTTCGTAAAAAAAAGTTAAGAGCATGTGGTTGATATCGGAGCCAATAATTATTGATCCACTATTCGGCTAACCAAATAATTATGCTCCTGAACAGGATAGGATGATGAAGATTTCATAATGTTATTATCAAATTTGCGATTTCTGGTGTCATTACCTATGCTAAAGCTATGAGCCGCCAGTGATTAAATTTGGGTGTGCTATTATTTAATTGCTTTGATACAAAGCATGTAGAAAGCCTTTATTAAACATAAAAAAGTGCAACCAAAAAAAGCTTCTGTACTAATTTATGACCCTTTGTTTACTGCGATGCAGCCTTAATGAAGGATCATATTAGCTGCTTGGCCAGATTGAGCTCCTCAAATTAAATCCTTATGCGTAAGAAGATGTCAGAGTCTAAGTCACAAGTCACCTATTTTAGCTATATATCCCAGAATAATTCTTGATCCTATAAAATGCTTATAAAGACAGAGAAAACATATGAAATAAAAAATTGACGCTCAATGTAAGTCCAAGAACCATTCCTCATCTTGGAATAAGAATTGAAATATAGGCATGGAATTGATTTCAAAGAGGCTCAAACGGTACGTTGTAAAGTAGGTTCAAATGGCATCATTAATGATGTCACTGCCAAAGTGCCTACAGCAGCGCCGCAAACCCAAATAGGAACAGATGACCCAGACTCTTGACCATAATAATATATAACTGGTGTCACAACGCCCCCTACCCTTGCCATAGTTACCGCTAGCGCGGTTCCTGTAGTTCTGGCTTGCGCCGGAAACACTTCTGGTGTATAAGCATATAAACAGGCATAATAAATGTTAATAAAGAAGTATGTAGCTGATGAAAATCCAGCATCACCAGCAGCACTCCTTACTGTCGTGTAACCAAAGAGAATTGCCATACTGGACACAGCTCCAAATGCCATCGTTCCTCTCCTACCACATTTTGGAATGAATACCATTGCAGCCGCTAGCATCGGGCTCCAAATCCCAACAAAATTTGCTATGACAGGATCCCTGTATACCATCGATACACTATTCACATTGCCACCTTTTTCAGCGATATAAATATACAAGAAATTGTAAAACGTGTCGTACGCAAGACCTATCAAAAACCAAGACCATAGTATCAAAGATGTCGAATATGCGACTAACTTTGTAGCAAACAAAATTTTCACATGCTTTTTGATTAGTTTCCATGTTGATATTGCTTTAGACCACAAGCTTTCATCTTGTCCAAGTTCATGTTTAGTTTTTTTGAAGACATCAAGCAATTCCCCGCAAGATTCTAAGTCTTCCAATGTCAAGCTAAATGGTCTGTCATATTTCAAAGCAATCTTTCTCAAAGACTCGACTGCCTCTTCGTCTCTACCGTTTGAAACTAAGAATTTTGGCGTCTCATCTAACTTGAAGAATAATAATCTAACAAGCGCCCCGCACATGCAAATAGCCGAATTCGCATACCAGCAATACCTCCAACCCCTATTTGAAGAGGAAGGACAATCACCTTCTAAGTCACAACTGAAGTTTGGTATGAAAGCCCATGCGAGAGCAACTGCAATAGTTTGTCCAATTCCCCACCAAGCCGCAAGAAACGTATTAAGCCATTGATATTTAGAAGGTAAATATTCCAAAAAAACAGCGACGTCTAGCGCAAGGTTTCCTCCGGCACAAGCTGCGTTCAAAAATAAAAAAATACAGTATGTAGCGTAAGAGTTCATACCTCCGACAAAGAACCCAAACAGTGCTGCTAAGAACAACGACCAATTGAAGGCGATTTTTCTTCCAATAATGTCACCACCTAGACCCCAAAATAAACTTCCAAATAATAATCCAACATAGAATATTTCTGTTGCAACAGGAAAAGACCTCCCAAACTGATAATTTACATACAGTGACACTGAGCTCTGAATCATTTCAAGCTGTGAGTCGGCAGAATATCCAAAGCCTGAAATGCAAAATAGTTTGGCATGATACCAAGTAAATCCAATCTCATCTATGGCATTATTGATTAGGAACATTTTTTTTGACAAGATTTCATTTCCATTTTCAACTTCAATCAAATCCTTCTTATTGAAAGCATCTGAAGACTTTAAAAAAGGCTCTTGAATGCTACTTGATTCCACTGTCAGACCTTTTTGTAATTCAGCTTTAGAAGTCATTCCTATAGTCAACAGTGGAAAGGTCTCATTGTGACAGTCTTGCTTTTTCGTATATTTATAGAGATATGACAAATATATCTCGTCGATAAGAGATCAGCCCAAGATATAAATGTCCTAATTAGGAAAAAATGTCCCCTAGAGTATGTCTATCTTTGTATAAGATTCCGCAAGAACATCGCGTCTTTAATGAAAGCTGAGGAATTATGGCCTCTGGAGTGAGCGATCATTATTCTTCTAGTATCCAGGTACATATATTATATAGTTTTAGCTATGAAGAGTATACTTTCGTGTATATGGATTAATGTACTTGATAATCTTGCAGTTTATACATTTTTCAAAACCGGTTATATTGCTTTTATCAGCTCATTTGCTTATCATTGGATACTTCTTTATGTAAAGGCTTTTTCCACCGCCCATAAGCAATAAGAATCTCAACTTTGAGCGAAGTGCTTGAAATTTAATTCTTTGTTGTAATTGATCTTTAATGGTTAGAAAGAATAGAAATAGATAACGATTGTGATTCTTATATTCAATATTATTTCTGTAAGATTACATATCTAAAAGTTATTAATGCTGATTCAACTGTGATTTGAATTTCTCAGAAAGCAAAGCTCTCGGAATTGGCATACCTTTACTCGCGATTGATGTGATAGGACGTTTTCTGTGTTGTATATTAAATAGGTATATCGTGACGACAGGACAGATTTCAAGGCTTGCCGCATGAGAAAAATTCTGAACTCAAAAGTAAAAACCTAGAAGATCCTAATTTTGAGAGCTTAACTTGGCGCAAGAGAATATCCGAGAAAATAAGCAACGTCTATGGAAAGTGGTACTTCTTTTCTTCGGTCGGAAAGCAACTTGTCCTTGTTTTATCGCTTCATTCAATGCACGAATAGAAACTTGAAAAAAGAATAGTAATATCGTCGCTACTCTATTGTATAAAAAGCACAGTCGAATTTCTAAAAAAAAAAAGTTTGGTGTACCCTCACCAAGAATAACTTGAATTATATAGAAGAAACATTCCGATATCACACCTTCCAATAAATTCTTCGTATTTTTAAAACAAATCAATGTGCTTTCATTGGCACCAATTAAACTTTATATTAAAGTACGCCAGTAAGTAATTGATCGTTAATCGCAAGACATATGAAATACCATCTTAAAGAAGAAAGAAAAGTCCATATTACATGTCTAATCTTTACACATTATAATTGCTTGACAGCAGCAGATGTGATTGAATTAACCAGAACTAAATTAGTCTCCTCAAGTGATATTTCATTCTCCTCTTTGCGCATTAACTTCTCTCTTAACCCACTTTCCTTCTCCATTGTCTTATGCAAGTTCCTGAAATGGATAAAGAAAATTATAGAAAAAACACCCCCACAAATTGCCAAACCCCCGAAATACCAAACCAAATGAGGATCTTTCAAAGCTGGGCTAATAGCATCACCTATGGCCGCAGCTATTCCAGTTGCAAGTAAGAACAAAGCCTGTACAAGACCCTTCATATGCGGAGGAGCCCTTGTGTAGCCCAATTCATAGGCAGTTGTATTGGCAAAACATTCACTTGCAGCTGATAAAATATAAGGCACTACCAGAACCCAAGCATTAATAGGTGCAACTATTCCTTTATCTACGCATTTTGTGGCCTGGTCACCACATTCAATTTTAGCGTAGATTTCCTTTTGGATAATTGCAGCGGCTGCCTGAGAACACGCCGCGAAGACCATACCAAGAGTGATTCTCCATGCGGGCCTGAACTCGATCTTCAACCTACGCAATAGCGGATAAACACCGTAATCCAATAAGGGTATAAGCGCAATGATCGTTATTGGATTGAAATTGCTGTACATATCATTTGGAGTTCCATCACTTGTCATAGATCCTGATTGCGCAGTGAGAGCTGGAGTTGCACCAGTACCTCCAGCATCACAAAGATTGAAGACAACAAAGTACAGGAAAACTTTACAAATATTAACAACTTGCTTGACATCTAAGACCCATTGGTCGTTCCAAGTGATTGGTTTTCGTTTCTTTTGCAAAAAATATTCCTCACCTCTCTCTCTCATTTTGGTTGGAGTGGCATATTCCCAGAAAGTTTCGTTCTTTAATCTCCTTATCCAGTTTCCTCTAAACAGAACCCTTAAGATTTTGACAGAGTTCTCAATAACAGATCCTTTTCGTTGCTCCTTTTTAAGCTTGGGTTTCACAAACCAGAATACAAAAGGAATTATGAGGTATATAATGATGGGAATAAAAAAAGCAAACCAATATCCGATTCTTCTCTCAATATAAACACTCGGAATAGGAAAAAGAGCTCCAATATTAATCGCCCAATAGAATACTAAGGTCATCCTTTCCAACGACTTTTGACGGTCAACAATGACAGATTCTCCAGATGCCAAAACCTTAACAACATCCGTCTGCTCTGGGTATTGGTCCATCAAGAGCGGTAATAAGTTAGGCTTGATGAACGCAGTACCAAAAGCCAACGTTATGATACCAAAAGCTGTGGGTACAATTGCATGACCCGCTGCAATAACACTAGGAGCAGCAGCCACTATAAGCAAAATATGAGCAAAAAAACCGCAAATAACACCAATCCATATTGCCTTGAACTTACCAACCTGGGAATCCGCAACAAACCCAGCATATAAAGGTACAACATATGCCACAAACGTCAAAGTATAAGTTATAGCCGTTGCGGCCGGCACTCCTAAGCCTAATGCACCAGGATTTACACTACCGGCAGCTAATTTACCTGTTGAGCTACCATCGGGCAATTTGTAAGTTACGAAATTACTTAAAAGAGTTTGGCAAGAATAATAAGATGCTCTTTCCGCAAACTCCGCTATGCAAAGCAAATAACAGGCCCAATCCGCTCTCCCCAAGACTCTTCTTAAGGAAGAGGCCTCTTGCTTAGTGGGTTTTCTCAAACCCTTTGGATTCTGATCATCTACAAAGTTTGTTGAATAATTGTGGGGATCATCGAAATTATAGACACGTTCGTCTACAAACTCTCCATTTGACTCAATTGTAGCACCATCTTCTCTCGCATCATCTTGATGCTTCCCAGCTACTTCGGGAGCGAGCTTCTCGGTGACGTAATCGACGTCCCCAGTTTTAGCGAGACCCTTCTCGTCAGTCTCTTTGATGCTGGATGTACTCACCATTTAAACAAATTCTATACTAAATGAAAAAAATTTTCAGAGAAGGAAAGCTTTTCGTTTAAGTAGATATTGATGATGTAATGTAATGTAATGGGGTAAAGTGATGAAAGGCAAACGCAAGAGGTTTTTAAACACGGCACCAGGAACCGAAATTGATAGCAGACTCGTACAAATATTTTTCCTTCATCTAGATTTCGCAGTGAGAAAATGAACAATACAAGAGCCACAAGAACCTTAACATTGTAAACTTCTTAACATGGACGCTTCAAAGGATCCGTGCTCATTGGCTCACTTGGCTGATTCCTCCTTATACAGTTTTCCGTGGCATAGCATGGTTATGTGCACGCGCAATCATCGGAGAAGCATACGGCATAATTAACGTTGCCGTGCAGGGATGAGGCAGATATGTCTTTCCTGTGCTGCCTTGCGCGACTTTCAGTTCGCCTAATAATTTAGTGCAGTTCAAAGTAGTGCCCCTCACGAGCGCAAAAATTAGAATGTAACGTTACGTACATTAAAGTAAAGTCTGCTTATTAATCACTTTCGCGAAAGCTTTTAAGTGAAGGCTATTATGAGGTTATACACCTGAAAACTTGACCACACCGGATTTCTTACCTTTAGCTCATACTCTTATGCACATTCTATTTTTTGAACTGAGATAACAGCGAGTTATGTGGCAGATATATTGCTACTTTTATATTCCGATGATCTTTATGAACGATAAGCAAAATCTCAATGATAAAATATCTTCTATATAAGTTTTAAGTATTATTGGCTACAGGCATTTCAGCTCTCAACTAATATATACTCGCTTGATGGCCCGCATCAAGTTTGCTAAATTTAATTTTTGTCTTTCAGATTGGTTTAACACGTCATTATACGTTACATTTTGGACCTAAATGACCTCCGGTTTGGAATTGAAAGCGACTGGTAGTCTTATAAGCTTTAGTAGGGTCTTTGAAAAAGGATCTTAGTCTTGAACACTTGACATTTCCTTGACCATCTTAGCCTTTGTATCTGTATTATGTTGCTCAATGCGTCATGTATCATATCTCGCTGCTTAATATGTTGAAAAAATGATCTAAAGCTAACTCCAGTAAGTATTTGCTTTCATCGGAAGTTTTTTGAGGCTCAGAGACAAAAGAATTGGAGAAGTCTTGAAATCCATTACCAGAATTTGAACCATTTGACGTCATAAGAGAAGTATCATCTGAGAATCCATTGAGGTTATTAAATTCTGTCAGAGACATCCTTAACCATGATGCGTCTACACCTGAGTCATTCGAATTTGTCAGGTTTTCAGTATCCATTGACTTTTCGAAGTTTGTTTCAGAAGCATAGCCAGAAGCCGCCTTAAAATGCTTCAGTTTAGTTCCTTTTGAGCAGCTATCAGTGTCCTGTTGCATAAATTCAGTACCATAATCTCCTCTCACTATGCCACGATTACATATTGCAATCAATTCTTCGGTCTGTTTTTCATCTAGGAGCGATGGAAGCTTTAGACTTGTTTCATTTTTCATGCCACTAAAATCTTGATAGAATTCATCACTCATCAATGTAGACAAAATATGCCCATGAGTTTTCAGCATTCTCCATGCAAAGTAATATCTTTCTCTGAGCTTTAAAAATGCATGAATGGTGATTTCACACATCTTACTTAATCCTCTCGTCAATATTTCGAAGGAATGGTGATAAAATTTGTAGTCCAAGTCTGATGACATTTTACTTTCATGGTCGGGTGATACACTCATTGAATAGAATGCGGCTCGAAACCTTACTAAAAGACAGAAAAAAGTTTGATTAGCTTTGGACAAAGCCAGTAGAATTTCCAGGTTTAGTACCAAATTAGGAATATTCTTCAAAAAAGGGTGTCTAAAATGAAGTAATTTCAAACAGTATGGAAGTAACTCATCAACAACTATACTTAAAGCTTTCCTGACGTAGAAAAATAGTAGCTGCGAATTCTTCGAAAGCTCATATTTTAATATGAAATGTAAATATATCGAAATAAAAAAGCATCTCGTTGGTAGATATACTTTAATTTTTAATACTCTTTCAAATACAGAAGAAGGACCGGAGTCAACGTAATTCTCAAAGAGCTCCTTTAATGTTCCGTAGTTCTGTAGCAAAAATATTTCTAAATGGTCAAGTTCATCAGCTACTTCAAACATAAGAACTTTTGACCTTACATCTAATAATCTTACTAATAAGCGTCGTAAAGGAGCAACAAGTTTTGCAACATGTTCAAACATTGAAATCACTGTTTTCTCAATTTCCACATCTTCAACATTTTCAGCCCCTTCTACATAGACAGGGAGTTTCGTGTCAAATGATCCTTCTCTCATGCTGAAAAAGTTTCCTTCAGAAAAAGCAGACAAGGTGTCTAATAACAATAGATAGAACCAATTTTTTCTTTTCACGTTTTCTAATCTAGCTGTCTCTGCATCATTCTTTGAAACGCATAGATCCCTATGTAAAGATATAGAATATGCCATTTGAACGAGAATTCCCGTGTAAACTCTGGTTTCATTGTTATCACTCCCTTCACCTTCTTCGGGGGATAACATGTAGTAACATTTCATTAGAAATGCACACTGATATATGGGAAGAGAAACTTTTCTAAATAACAGGAACTGGTTTAAACATTCATGTGCTATTGCAACGAAATTTTCATTAGTCAGATTGTTCAAAAGATATTTCACATCACAACTTTCCTTCGCATCTTTTTCTTCGAAATTACTCAAGTTAACGGAACTGCTAGAAAACAAAGAAAGAAAGCTCAATTTCATTACAATTAATAAGCTACCAAACCATGCTAATTCTACCTTTTGGGAAATGTTTAAAACGCTGATCTTAATATCTTCGTACCCCTCTGGTCCAATCATTTTAGATACTCTAGATCTGAATTGCTTCTCGTCGAGTATAGGCATGAAAGGGTATAAATTTTTAAAAAATCTATCAATTAACTGCCATATAACTCTCTGCGGCGGTAAAGCAAGTCGTAACTTTTCAATGAAATTTGAGCCTTCGAAGAAGGTATTGTCAAGCACAAGGCCCATTGATAAAATCGCTCCAGAACTCTTTTCAGTATCTCGATTCTGTTTGTTATCAGCATATTTTAAGCTTCCGCTATTAGAAACCTCATCCTTATCCTCGAAATGGGTCTCCGATGCAGAGTTTGCTTTCCTCTTCCTTCTGCTTCTAACAATGAAATTCCAAAGCGAAATGAAAGCACTATCTTTATCTATAAGAGATGACCAATGAAACAAACCACGCGTGGAATAGTTATGATCATATTTGAATACATTATCATTTTTTGATTCATAAAAACTGATTACTTCATCAGTAGATTCAACTGGGTTTATGCCATGAAAAAAATCCTTATTCCTGAGATGTTCAGGAAGAACCACATACTGTATTCTCTTCGTAGGAGGCTTAAGCCTCGTTATAGAAGCACTCTGTATTTCCTCTGTTACTAATTTTGTTGATAGATATTGTATCTTTTCAATTAATTCATTCCTCAGTAATCCATCAAAAATCGAGTTTTGATCGTCCCTAATGTTTTTTTTTGAACTGGAATCCAAAGAGCGATTTCCTAAATTCGACTCTCCAATATCCCTTAGATATTCATTTTCAAAATCGATGTGATTCTCGTCAGCTAATGAACGGTTATTTACGTATGTGCATAGATGCGTTTGTCCTGTTTTAATACAAAAAGAGCAAGGTATTCCTTTATTACAAGCCCGTTTCTTTTTTTTACAGTTATCACAAACTGTCGTTTTTCGCTTTCTCTTCCTTATATTCTCTTCCATTTTTGGCATCTCTAACACGAAGCAATATATTGTGAATGTTAGTTTAACAGAAAGAAAAGGAGTTGAAGATTATTATAGATTATAGTGTCGCGCACGACTTGATTATAAATAGACGACCCATGGCAATGTTATTCCAACCAAATCACTTACCAAGGGTTGAATAGAATTCTTATTGTTTAGTAGGGCTTGAGTGTCGTGACGGGGCTATTCTTCTTTTGGCTAGATGAGCCTCATTTAAAAACTGTGTCGGAATTAAAGTTCTCGCGGTGCGTAATTACGCTGAATATTGATAGCTAGGGCTATTATTATTTCACTCAGTTTGATAACAAATAGCATATGTATTTAAATGTACGATTGTTTTCTCTTTAGTATGTAGGATGCGATAGATTAGACAAGTACATTTTAAAATATACAAAGGAATTTTAAGGATGGTTCTGACAACTTTATCATCTTGGGTAACAAGTTTTGTGCCTTCTAGTACTGAGCTTACAAGCATTGACCCGACACATTCTGCAAATTTAGTTGCTTCATTATCTTCCGCGAAAAGTAAATTTGAAGTTGTGACTAATACCGAAAGTCTCGCAACATTTTCAGCCGCCATAAGAGGAGCTCAAGCGTCATTGAGTGCAATCAGTTACGAGGAGGTCATTGCAACCGCGACAGACGACAGCGTTAAAGCTAGCGCCTCAAAAGGGCTTTATAATGCTACTGTCAACTTGAAGGAATTGGAATGGGAGTTAAATCAGTATGGTATGTATCTTAAGATGGCACCAAATGCATTGTATACGGCTCTCTTTGGTCTTTTGTTCATATTCTTTTTGATAATTACATTTTGGAAAAGAACTTGGTGGTTTGGTATTGCTATGAGTTGTGGTTGTGGATTGGAATTTGCTGGATACATCTCTAGAGCCTTGTCAGTACATGATCTTTCAAACAACGACACATTTTTGGCCCAGATTATTTGCCTTACTATTGCCCCCGCTTTCATCATGGGTGCAATATATTACCTATTGGGTACTTTGATAATCTTGTATGGCCCAAAATATTCAAAGCTAAAGCCCCTGTGGTACTCAATTATATTTGTCTTTTGCGATGTCGTAAGTTTAATTGTACAAGCTGTTGGAGGTGCTTTAGCTAGCTCAAATGATGATAATGAAAATGGAACACATATTATGGTAGCAGGTATTGCATTCCAAATAGTTAGCATGTCACTCTTCTTTTTCTTTTGGTTTTGGTTTTTATTCGAGATATACTTTAATGCGGACAGGCAGATCACGTTTTCATTGAAGAGACTTTTGCAGCTATTTTTCAACACAAAGGAAGGGACAATACTACATCGTCAGCTAGATACTTCTTATACCCAGGCATATCATGACATTAGGGCTGCTAGGTTATTTAATTTTTTTCCGGCAGTAATCACATCGTCAGTCGTTTTTGTCTACGTCAGATGCATTTATCGTGTGATTGAACTCGCCCAGGGATGGAGAGGCTTTTTGATTACTCATGAAGTATATATTATGGTCTTGGATGCTGCTATGGTGTTCTTAGCTTGTGTTTTATATGTACCATTCCATCCAGCTTACATCTTAGGGAGAGCGCTAGATTCAAAATTCAACTTATCTAAGAACACATTCATAGAGTTTGAGAAATGTGATACAATAGACTCGATGAAGATAGAAGATGTTCTATAGAGTCTTTTCCAGGTTTATTACCAGTTTATACAATCTTCTTGGATATCTGTTTTTATGCTAAGTAGTTGAAAGAAAATATGGAACTAGGTGCGATTTCTAGAGAGAGATTTTTACCTGTGCCATCAAAGCTACTATCGTAATTGTAAAATTTCATGAAATAGCAAAATTCTATGATGGATCGCATTTCAAAATGTGGTGCTTATCAAGTATATATAGCTAAAGGTACCTAAGGATGATTCCAATCAGATTACGGCTTCTGTTCGGAGCCCCTTATTTTTAAACATAGGAAAGGATACTACTGATGACTTATTAAAAGGAGCAATTAAGTTGGCAGCAGATTTCTTCTCCGAAGGTCCTGATTTAGCAGGATATGTTGTTCGAAGATGACTCGAAAGGATCAGGATAAATCTCGCAAAAAAATTGACCGCAAAAGGGCACAGGGACTAAACACAACTAAAAATGTTAAACTTTAGGGTTTAAAGGCACTGAAGTCGTTCTAAAGTCCCTTTGAAATTTGAAATCCAGAACGAACCCCTCAAAATGTTCTGTAGGCATCAAAAACAAGTATGTTTGGTAGTAATACTCTACTTCTGAAAGAAGTGACCATAACAATAAGCAGATAGATATGTTAATGAGCACGGCGTATACTAAAAAGAGCTCTCTTGTCTTTCAGCAACTATTATGGAAATTCTGTAATTAAACTGTATGAAGCTATTGATGAGCTTAGTCCAGCTTGGCCTGCAACGTAAAAGAAAAAAAAGTGCAGTAAATCTCACAGAAGAATGACCTTGGATAGAGCAGATTTAAGAATCTTACTGATTACATACGACAATCAAACCGATAGAAATTTTATGAAATAAGTTCAGGCTCAGAAGCTTATTCTCTCCGGAAAAATATGGTGTCAATGAAGATAGATGCTGAAATGCAATGAGGCACCTCAGATAGAGAAGCTGATGAAATTAGATACGTAGCTAAGTATGCTATCACATCTCTCGAAATAGAAAGGAGTCGAAATTCACCAGCAAAATTTTTCTGACAATTACGATTCAAGTATTAACAACATTAGCCCATGATTGTGCACTTGAATTTTAGGCTGATTATTGTGCCAGGTTTTTGTATGCAGGCTATTATCGAAAAATGTGGTAACAGTGGTGTATGCAATACGCATAATATGTTTCAAAAGTTTGATGAGCAAGGGGCATATAAGAAGTGAGAGGAAAGTGCTATTCCAGAAAAACAAAATCAAGCGAACGTAGTCATGGACGACTATATAAATATAAAGGAATTAGTTTCTAATCATCCTTTGTATCAAGCAGTGCAGCGATGTATTGATGATGAGTTAGAGTCCTACGATTATCATAACTTTTACCCTGGATGGGGATTAATGACAGTGGATTATCGGATTATCGTACATGAAATATTTCGAAAAGATAAACGAGAAGTAAAAGAGTTTCTTGTCGAAGTTAAAGAAACATATCTGGACTTCGTTACTAATTTCAAGGCTTGGAAACCTCAGCAGCTTAAAATTGTCTTCAGGTTTGTAATATCGCTTCCTATGTGTGAATATGAATTCGAGTATACTAGAAATATGTT